TGAACCATTTGAAAGTAACTGATTAGCAATCTGGTCATGCAAAGTAGTCATATACTTAACGGCTTCTGAACCCCATTCTATGCCTTGTATGTTTTGGCCCTCATTTCCTCCACCTCCCACATTAGGAGTAACCATAGTGTTTTGTTCAAAGTTCGTAAATAAGTCATCTTGAATATCGTATTTCTTTATAAAATTATGGACCGCAACACATGCAATGACTATGTCTCTTTGCACTGGAAAAGGATAAGGAGCCATACGTTTTAAACTGGAAATCTCGCCTTCAATACACCATAAGCACGTTCAATGATATTTCTAAGTTGTGCATGAGCATGATTGAACCTTTCTTCCTTAGTTAAAGCTCTGTTTCTTAAAAAATCGGCTAACCAATACCTAGTATTGCGGTAAGGAGCCATAGATCCACGGGTGTTGGTGTATGCCGCATCACAAAGGTAATATTTATCTGTAGATGGGTGACAAATTAATCATATAAATAATATAGATAATAAAACTTATAGAAAAATGACAAACCTGGTGGAGGGAATGGAAATCCAGAAGTCGGATTAAATGCAACTTCTTTCAAAACTTTAGAATCGTGTGCTATGCCCTCCCATCCAGCCCATATAAAGGTGAATATCATATCAAAATCAAAAATTCCTATTACATTTTGATAACATTCACCTTTTCCTCTTCCCCTATAGCGAGTTTGTTCATCAACGGGCACAACTGCATGTACAAGTGTTCCGTCTAGTGAACCTAATGCTCCAGGAAATATGTTTTGTAGCCGTCTATGTCGTTCAGAGGTATTTCTTGTTGTATTAGAAGATGTTGGTACAATACTTTCTCTTGCAAAACACATCATTACTTTAGCACTTCATGAAAACATTGATGAATCGTTTGTATGGAGTGGTGAAACCTTTCTTTAACGGCTCGAAAACGTTCATTATGTCCTATAACATGTAAAAATATAGCCATCTTCTCTTCAACGCTTATTGTCCTACTACGTTGCAACCAATTTCTTTGAGTAAAATGATTGCATAATAATACAAATGCATCTTGTGAAAGACGCATCATATCGTAACATTGTATAGGACATCCGTGTATCAAATCTTGTGTATATGCATGCCCGGTTTCTTCCGACTCGTTAGCTTTTTATTCTTCCAATTCTTTTTTTTCTTTTTTGAACCAGCATCAACCAATAGCATGAGAGTATAAGGAAACCTAAAAACTCACATTCCTTATCCATATGTAACCTGTTACATGTTAAATACAAATCACATAAATTTTATAACATAAACCATAACATTAATCAATAACATTAAAATGGATGACATATAACTCCATAACATAAAAATGCATCACATAAAAATCCATAACATCAAAGTCAATACCAAATAACAATCCTAAACATAACACATAAACAACCTAAACTTACAAATCCTAAACATAACACATAACAACCCTACACATAAAAATCCATAACATGTACCATAATATAAATCCATAAAGCATAAAGCCAAAAACATCCTAAAGTCATACTAAAGTCAACCAAGTAATCCAAAATTCTTTCCCGCACTTTTCAACCACAACTCACAAGTCGAAGACTCGAGGCGTAACCAAAATTTTCTGTTACCAGCATTTTCAGCGAACAACATAAGAGCAGTGATGTATTTCAGATCAGAATTTCCCCACTCCAAGCCTTTCAATTTTTCAATACATTCATCCATATCCTTGTCAAGATTATTAGTTTGCGCGAACGCCTGAGCCGCCTTCATAATTTCCTTGCCAACCTCTCTTATGTCATCATCTAGTGTGTGTGGGTGCATTTCGTTTTCCTCTTTTATTTTTAGACCGAGCAGACGAATCTCCACTTGCATGTGATGCACTTGTAGGTGGGGTACTGTTGAAGCTAAGGCTCGGATATCCATTTGAGGTGGCGTATCTACCATCTCGATATCCTCATAATCTTGTGTAGTAAAGACTTCTGCAGGATGAGGGAGTGTCGAAGATGGTCCCCAACTAGCAGCACCGGTCGAGGTTACACCGTCAAACAACTGGGTGCATAGATCAGGGTAAAGGAGGGGTGCATTTCTTAATTTCTCAACCATCTTGTTCAACTGTTTGAAAAAATGATTTTATTATTAAACTTTTTAAAAAATAATAATGTGTTTTAAATTATAAGATTACCTTCGCCTCCGCTTTCCACTCTTCATTCGTCATTTGAAACGTGTTTGTGACAGGATTATAGAGATTCCCAGTTTTGTTTTTTAATTTCAACCAAACTTCATACTTGCTTTTCAAGTAGTCATAACGATATTTCATTTGTTTTTTCTCAACAACAAAGTCGTGTTCTTTTTTTAGTTTTTCAGCTATTGTATTCCATGAGATACTTTTGAGACCACTACCCTCCCGACCGTTATTTGTTAGTTCTTGGATACATGCATCAAGAAAAGTTTTGCTCACAAAATCCGAAGACCAACTAGCTCTACTTCTCTTTTCTGCCATGTCTAAAGAATAAATAAATGATAAATATACACATATTTGCACACATAAACACAAATATATATATATATATATATATATATATATATACACACATATACAAAAAGATGTTACACAAATGTATACACCAATATACACACAAATTTACACACATATATACAAATATATACACATATACACATTTAGTTTTTTAGTATAAAAAATTAAGAAGTAAATTAGTGTCTTGTTATGTTTTATAACGGAGAAAATTGTCAAAGAATACGAAATTAAATATAATAAATCTGAAAAAAAAATTCTAATTATCAAATTTATAATTTTGCTAAAACTTTACAATATTGTTATTACTAAAACAAAAAACAAACATGATAATATGTTTAAATGTACAAATTCAACCATCACAGTCATATATATTAATCACTAAAGATTGCTTACATAATTCATTCTTAACTTTTTACTCTATAAAGACAATAATTTGTTTATACTAACATCAATGATAGAATTTTTGGCATATAGTAGGGTACAGCAAGAAAAAGAAACATGCTTGTTCAATCAATTAAAGATGAATAGTCAGGTTTAAAATGGAATCCATAGCTCTTAGATGCAAGATTTTCACTACCAAATGATATAAAAAAGATGACAGTCACACATCTTCAAGAATTCATGAAAACTTGACATTCACATAGCTTGAATGTGAGTTAGATCCTTAACAGCTCTAAGGAGATAGAATACTACAAAAATATATGGACAGTTCTGGACAATTTTGCCCCTGATTATGGGGTATTGACAGAAATAACATGCAGAAAAATTTATCAAGTTCTGGACAGTTTTGTCCCTGGCAACAATATGTAGGGCAACACCGATTTTTTTTTGTTCTGTTTTTCTCGGTCCATCAAGTTGAAAGCAAGGACCAAGTCCTATGTTTTTATTGGACCGAATCCACATGTTGGTCCGAGTTCTATCCCTATCAAACATGCCAATTGATATTTTATGGACTCAGTCCCTCTTTGGACCCATTTAGATACGATATCAAACGACCCCTAAGGCACCAATGTCGGCCCGTGTAGTTTATATGTTCTTGATAGGAACACGGAGTGTGGGCGGGGCCCGTATCTCATTATTATCAGAGTATAGATATCATTCAGATTGTTGGATTGCTATACTTGTTGTCTATGTGATACTTGTATGTGTTTATTTATGTATATGAGTGTGGGTGGGGACCGTATCTCATTATTATTCGAGTGTGGGCGGGGCTCGAATCTCATAGTAGCCGAGTGTGGGCGGGGCCCGAATCTCGTAGTATTATTTGAGTATAGATATGTGACTACTTGATAGGAATAGATATACTGTTGTCCGTGTGATACTTGTATGCATGTTAGTGGCGGAGTGTGGGCGGGGCCCGAATTTCCTAGACAACGGAGTGTGGGCGGGGCACGAATCTCCTCGACAGCAGAGTGTGGGCGGGGCCCGAATCTCCATGAGAGTGGGCGGGGCCCGGATCTCCTAGTTGCATGTTATGTGTATGGTATGTAGTAGTTGGGGAGACTCACTAAGCTTCGTGCTTACGGTTTTCAGTTTTGGTTTCAGGTACTTCGGTTTTCAAAAGAGGAGCTCGGGATGATTGCAGTGCACACACCATTTGTTCAGCCTGGGATGTTTATACTCTGATATATTTGACAGATGTTATGATATTCTTGAGATACACGATTTATGATTTTTATATGTTGAATGATAATTATGGTTTTATTAATGATTTAAAACGAAAATTTTAGACTGTATTTTTGGTATGTTTCACAAACGAGGGACGATACGAGTTAATTTTTGAAAATAGAGACTAAACACGTTTTCTGGCATATGCACAAGGACGATTGGTGTAATTTACTCAAATGCACCCTAAATTTTAATTCTTAATTAAACAATTTATTTTTGTTTAAAGTTGTCTAACATTCAAGTTATATAAGTTCTAAATATTCCGCCTCTTGAAAACCGAATTGTAAAAGCCGATTCAACCGAATTGTAATTTGGTTGGTTCGGATCGGATTTGAATTTAGTTTAGATTGTTCGGATCAATGTTCTGAAAACCGAAATTCATTTGAATTCACTTGATTAGATCAGATCGAACCGATCCATCCAAATGAACACCCATAAACTTGAATACATACATAGGGCCTCATACATGCCTCACATTTGTTATGTGTTCATAATTTCAGCTAACATGTCGCATACCATAAAGATCTTAACAAATCACAAAATTATATTTAAAAAAAAAAACCGCATTCATTTACACATTTTCGCGCAGTGCGAAACCTTCTAGTTTAAAAAGAAATAAGTGAAAAGAATATTAAAAATCGATAATGACATGTTTTGGTTAAAAGAATTTGGGAGAAAGGTCCAATCAGGTCACTTTAATTGAGTGAAGACCCAATAGGTTGGCTTGGCTGCAGATAAGCCGAAGACATGATGACGACCATTGGGCGTAATTTATTATTATTTTATTTGTTCTACTGACACACCTTGTTCCCTCTCCATATGCATCCCCTGCAGAGGCAGCTCAACCATTTATTTAATCTTTGCCACCCTCACATCCTCCTCATCATCTAATTCAAATCAATGATGCGTAGCGTTACAAGCTCCACCTCTGCCAGAGGCATCGCCGCCATTGTCGGCGTTGGGCCCAATCTCGGCCGTTCCGTCGCTCGGAAGTTCGCTCACGAAGGATACACCGTCGCCATCCTCGCCAGAGACCTAGGTAATTATCTTCCTCTAATCAGCTACCTATCTCCTCTTATGTTGTTTCAGTAGTCATTGAGATAAATTTACAGCGAGATTATCGAGATTTGCCGACGAAATAGCGAGGGAGGAGAAAGCGCAGGTGTTTGCTATTCGAATCGATTGCTCCGATACACAGAGCGTGAGAGAAGCATTCGAAGGCGTTCTATCATTAGGTTTTGTGGAGGTTTTGGTGTACAACGCTTACCAACCAATTCCATGGCAATACGGTGGCCCTTCAAGTTTCTCCGACATTCGTATCGATTCTTTTCAAAAATCCCTAGCCGTTTCTTCCGTCGGGGCTTTCCACTGTGCTCAACAGGTTCATACTTTACTTTTCACTCTCCTTTTTGACATTTTTTATAATATTTATATTGAAATTTCACACACAAACTGTGTGTTCTCCTTCTTCTCCATAGGTGTTGCCTGGTATGGTAGAAAGAGGAAGAGGGACCATTCTGTTCACCGGTTGTGCTGCTTCCTTATCCGGCGACGCCGGATTCTCTGAATTATGTGCGCATTTGTCTCTTTATAACTATAAAATCTTTATTTTCCTTTACTTTTCAAACACAATTGTATCAACAGTTTTTTACATTACGTGTATATATATATATATATATATATATATATATATATATATATATATATATATATATATTATATATATATATATATATATCAAAATTTATGCACAGATCGTTGTTGGGATTATATATACAAACACTTGCTCCTGATTAATTAACTACGGATTCTTCTTTCACAATGTTACAAGGTTGTGGCAAGTTTGCTTTGAGAGGATTATCTCAATGTCTGGCTAAAGAATTTAATCCACGTGGCGTACACATAGCGCATGTCATCATCGACGGACTGATTGGTGCATCTCGGTATTCTTATTTCCTTTTTTATTTTATATTCTTCACATATTCTTTCAAAGATCATTAGAAGATATCCAACTGTCGAATAGGACTTCGTGTCTTTAAAATAAAGGGATAAAAGAAATTTTTCCCCCTTTTAATCGTAGATTCTTCTTTGTTGGGATCCTTTTTCTACTTTCTAGTGCTACGTATATAGTCAACTCATTGTCACTCATCGTCAAATACGTGTTTTCCTTTTTCTCTTTACTCTATCCTGATTCCTGAGCAATCAGTACCAGGCCAAAGACACGAGTCCTGAGCTAGTGCTACACATATATATGTTTCCTTTTTCGTCTAAAACATTTCTCTATGGATTTTCAAGAATCTTTTACTAGAGTTATTGCTTTATGGAAGTACGTAACGTAATATATATATATATATATATATATATATATATATATATATATATATATGAGTTTTAGTTGCTTCTAGCTAGTTTTGTATTTTTAGATATAGTTTAAAAGACCACTATTGTCATAGTTACATTTGTTAGTTTGTATGAGGTACATATTATAATAAGACCAAAAATAGTATATTCTTTATGATCCACTTTACACAAGTAAGACCCATTTGCGTACATATTGGTTACGTGTTAGTTCCTTTATCATTCGTTCATCTTTGCATGTACTTTCACTCTTTAATCAACCATGATTGTTACGTAGCTTCCATAATAATTTGTTATAAAAAAGTTAATACTCGTGGGTAAAAATGAAGGATATACATACCCTTCTTTAAACATAGGTCCACAAGTCAGATCATTTTACTATTGTCCCATCAGCTAGAATTAATCAAATGATTGGAGCATTGATGGGCTATATGTACATCTGTTTTGTTTCCTACGTTAATTATTGTGTTTCCATGATAATTGATCAATCACATGGATGAAAAAAATTAGACATGGGTAGATGTCGGTATTAGAATTTTTTTTTTTTTTTTTTTTTTTTTTTAATTTAAATCAAATACATATTCTATTTTACTCGTAAACTGTATAATTTGTCAATAACGATATTTGAACTCATAATCTATGGTCGAATGACATTTTCAGTAACAGCCAATACCATTATGCCACAAGGCCTTTGATGATTAAAGTTAGGTATGCAATTACGCAATGATAAAGATAATGATGGGAGTGTGGTTTTGCAGTGCATCAACAATGCCACAAAGATCGTTAGTTGGAGAACAACAGGGTGTAGGCGGGGACGGATCCATGGACCCTGACTCGGTGGCTCAAACCTACTGGTATCTGCACATTCAACCCCGCGGTGCATGGACCCAAGAAATAGACGTCCGTACACCGAACCCAAGATTCTTCTAAAAGATTGCAACAACATAAATCAACAACTATCCCTAAATCTCAGAAAGTCGTTGCAACAACGTAAACACAATTTATATATAATGTTTATTGTTCCTTTAAAATTTGTGTTTTTGTGTTTATTTATATGTGAAGTCGTAAGGTGATGGTATTGATACATAGGAAAAAGTTATTCTAGATTCAATTATTGGTAAGGACATCCACAATATATTGAACTCCATAGAGTTCAATGTATTCACACATTATTTTTCTACAATCCATACAACTCTATCATTTTTTTCCTATAATGGATTGGACTCTATAAAGTTCAATAGAATGTTACAAAATGTAACTTATAGTAAATATTTAAGAATTAAAAACTTTTCTTTTTCCCATTAAACTCTAAATCCATTGAATGTCAAAGTGACATCTTACAATGATAGAGTTTCATCCACTGAATGACACATAGACTTGTCATCTCATTCAACTCTCTTATTGAATTCATTATTATGGATACTCTAAGTCCAAAACTTTCAAATAGTTGTGTAAACTATTTTGTACAACTACAATTAATGATTTGATTATTTTAACTCATGATAATTACTAGCTTTGAGGTGATGTAGAAAGAAAGGATATATATGGTAGATGGAGGGAATCGTGTCTTAATAGACCACGCACAACTTAAATGTACCACTTGCATTACCTCAGAGACATGTCTGTTGGTGGACCTTCGTCTAACTTTTTGTCTACTTTTGCCCCGAGGGTCCCTCCTACGTATTTGATTGCATTACATACTTGTACTTTCTATTTCCATGCTTTTCATGGTTGTACCTTCTGTGTTTAGTTTTTGCCAAAGAAATGTGATATTTGTTAGGTGATGATGGGTTGGCCCAATCATAAACCACATACTTTAATTCCGACCTAGCCCCACACGCACTTTTTCCTATTACTCATTTGTCCATACTTTTGGTGTAACTCATGCAGTTAATGCTCGAAGAGTATCCAATAGTTAAGTATTTTAAGGGTTTTTTTTGCAACTATTTTGAATTTGAAAATGGCTAATAAGTAGACGAATCGGAGGAACTGGAAGGAGAGTGACAGTGTTATGAACCCTAATCATATAAGTGGTGAGAATCTTTCAGCAACATTCTATGTAAGGAATTTTCCAAAGGAGATAGATCTGAAAGGCTTATGGAATCTTTGTGAAAACCAAGGCAAAGTGGTAGATGTCTACATATATAGCTAGGAAACTATCAAAACAGGGATGAAGATTCGCCTTTGTTCGATTTCTCAATGCGGTGAATGAGAAAGAATTGGAGATAGCCTTGGCTGCAGTTTGGATAGGTAATTATCATCTTTTCGCATTTGTAGCAAAGTTTAATAAAGAGAATGGGTCAACTGTCACATCCCTTCAAGTTTTGTTATTTTTAAAATCTTTTTAACCACGATTTTTAAAATAATTTTTGTATTTAACAATGAAAATTCTCAAAATTCAAAATAAAATGTTTTACAAAATAAATAATCATTATTTCAACACAGTCGGATGTCAACTTACATATATCAAACCATATTTCGCTTACCCGAAATAGGCCAAGCCCAATATAACACAACTAAAAGCTCTAAACTTCAAACATAATTAGTTATCATCTACAATATAACACAATGGCTCCTAAGTATATTGGCATGCTCGGGATTGGGAGCCTAATGGCCTCAAATCTTGCTCTTCTAGCAAAATGGTGGTAGAGGTACAAAAAAGAAACATCATCTCTTTGGGTAAATGTCATAAATCCAATCCATATTTCACCTCGTGTTTGGAAATTCCTTCTAGTAAGATTTGAAATTTCTGATGTTTGGAAAAAATTGCAAAAATTGACACTAATTAACATCGACATAAGCGGCTCGTTCAAGCTAACTGTAGGATTAGGAAATGAAGCCTCCTTCTGGATGATGAGTTTTGATACGAAATATAAGTTTGTTTTTCACAAAAACCGGCAACTGAAGACTTTAAAAATAACAAGTTTATTTTTAGTTCATAACAAAACCAAACCATCATGGATCCATTTATAGAGGCTAGAATGAAACAAAACAACCATAGGATGTTTTAGAGATAACCTTTGAAGCCTTTGAACCCCCTTGGTTTTGGGGTGTTGATGAAGATAGAAAAATCAAAGAGTATGATTTTCTCTACAAGTATCCACCATCATGATTAAGGCACTTGGAATGCTAGTTCCTTCTTGTATAAAGTACTTCTTAAGCCTTTAAGTGCTTAACTAAAATAAGCACTAAAAGAGAAGCACTTTAAGCCACCAAATGACTTGAATAATCTTCAAAAGAATGAGAGCTCCAAGCCCTTTCATGCCCACGGTTTTAAGAGAGAAAAAGAGAAGAAGAAGAAGTGCTAGTTTCTCATGCATAAGGCATTCTTTATATACTCCATGCAAGGTAATGGCTTTACATTAAAATACTCTAAAGTATTTCATATTTATATAGTCATGACAATTAATACATAGATAAGTTTGAATCAAATATCATTTGATTATATAGGTGTTATCTTTAAAACTATTAATTTAATGAAAGCTTATAGATTTACTTCATCATTGACGTTACGAGAAAAATATTCTCTAACACAGAATACATCGTTTCAGAACATGAATGTGAACATTCATTAAACGATAAGTAAATCTAGATTTATTCATAAATCACAACTGTTACATGTCCCTATAAGAATATGTACAAAACATATGTTTAAATAAAGACTATAACATCACTTGTTATATATTCAGCACGAAATATCATTCGTTTGTAATCAGTTGATTATTTCTTCCAATCATCAACACATAATATCAATTATTAGTGTCACTTTAGGTATAACATACTCAATTAAATGATGGAAAAAATAAATAGTTCTATCATATAGATATTTGAAGTCTTGTCCAAGTCAGACTTCTTTAGCTCAATGAGATTAGAGGAGCAATTCCTCTTTTAGTGTCCAATTTATTCCATGATAGAAACAACACTAATCATTGTCCTTTCTTGATTTTTGGGTTTATGTTGCATATCCCTTAACTATAAGTCTATTTGAGTACACAATCTCTTTAGACTTTTCCTTTTATTTAATGTTTGAATAGGTTTGAAGTATGTTCTACTGTTCTGATTGAATATATGCTTTACTTGATGTGACATCTAATATGTTTCATTATTATCCAAGACTTTCTGCAAGTCAAGGTTAATTACTCCAGCATGATGTGAGACACATCAACATTATCACAATAATACTTCCATCAAAGTATCATGATCGGACTGATTGGCTTGCAGAGGTTGTTCAGGTATGAGATCTTTCAGTTTATATACTTTCTGTTTATCCTTAAGGAAGAACCTCAATGTATTATACCAGTTATAGAAATCATAACCATCAAAAGTTACTGTCTCTTGAAACTCAACAAGAGAGAGGTTTTTCAGGGTGTAAGAGTATTAACAGTTATTAACAGAATTTAACAAAGTTTCATTTATTATTTTCAATATTTAGTCTTTAAAAATTAATACTTTTTATTGTTTCTTAAAACATTAATTTATTAAAGTCTAGGATCCAAGTAACGAAACAAGTAAATGGTTAGGTGACCTTTATCACATAAACTTAATCAAACTCGGTAGGTAGCGATTACCAATTGCATACAATATGTAACTCCTAGATTATGGGATCCTAAACAACTATTGCTTAACTTGGCATGTTTATCCCATCTATGCCTCAGACCTCTCATGATTAGGTGACCTTTATCACACAAGATTCCGATCAAGTCATCCTACTTGAAACAACTTGTAGTATTGTAACTAATCAGTGACAAGGTGACCCATTAGAAACCAGAAACTACAAAACTACCCCGAACATCATAATCCAGTCCTAATGACCAGGTGACCCTGTGACATTAAGACCATACAAATGATAACGAGTGTTCTTCAAAAGGACGACACTGACTTGCATTTTTACAAAATGTTTTATATATGTTTTACAGTTATAGTTTATGAAAACATGGTCCCATGAATATTGCATGCATCCAACAATTCATGTACCATTTTGTAAAATTCATATCACTTTTTATGAGGTTCTTAAGGTGCCAAATAAAACTTCATTTTATTTTCCATTATCCGCGATCAATTATAAACTAAAATCCGGTATTTTAAAGTTTAGTCGTAGATCGGGTTTTAAGAACCGGTAATAGTCTTAATAAAATTTCATTTTATATTTAAGACTTGGAGTTTTAGATGAGTTATAAAATCACTATTTTAAATCTCCTTTTAACAATCAAAATATTTTGACTTCATGAATTTGTAAAATAAACTCATTTTATTTTATAAACTCAATTTTATGCATTTTATGATAAAAGTCATATTTTGATAAACCAAAACTTCGATGATGATACTTATATTTTAAATCTCATTTGGCATGCATAAAACATAATATCAACATGTTGCGTTATGTTTAAAACATCAATATCATATATTAGGTTTCGGCGCAAAAAATAATCACTAGTTTTATCATTTGCCTTTATAACGTTATAAACCGATTTTTAGTCTTTTTAATAAAAACTCCTTATTTATTATAAAGACATGAAGTTTATATAAAGTTTAAACAACTTTTAAACCATTTCAGAAAATTTTAAAGTTGGGTATCTATAAGTTTTACAATAAAACTATTTTCAACAAAAAAATTAAGTCTTAACCGGTAAACCGGTAATCAGTAACCGGTAAAACGTTTTTATAAATATCAATTTATAAACATCTTATGTTATCTTTTAAATATTTTTTACTCAAACTCCAACTGATATTATCTTATGAAAAATGTTATTTGACATGTAAAAACCATTTTCATACATAAAACATAACATACATTTAACATAAAATAAACATCACAAGCATGCATTATAATGTGTATAAACCAAGCCATGTTTAGTAATAATTTTTGTGAGCCATCACAAGAATTATTAAGTCTTTCCAAAAGGACTTGAGGGACACTTCAAAATGTCTTCAAGCTCCCACTTGCCAAGTGAACTCTTGCTAGCAAATAAACTTCAGATCATCATGTT